GCCCCAGCAGCAGCCGCCGCCGCCGCTGCAGCAGCAGCAGCAGCAGCAGCAGCAGCACGAGCCGCCGCCCGCCGCGCGCGGCCGCGGCGCGCGCTACGACGGCCCCCTCTGGGCCGCGGAGGTCGTCGGCCGCCGCGTGGCCATCCTGCGCTGCGCCCGCGGCGGCGGCCGCGGCAGCTGGTGGGACAAGGCCAGGGTCGTGGACTACGACGGCGCCACGCGGCAGCACAAGCTGGTCTACCTGTCGGACGGCCGCACCGAGGAGTGGCTGCAGCTGTCGGACGTCAAATTCAAATGGGAGGGCGCGCCGCCGCCCGGCGAGCCGCCGAACCCGACGCACCGGCCGGAGTTCGCCGGGCACGCGGCGGCGGGGCGGCGGCTGCGGATCTACTGGCCGGCGATGCAGCGGTGGTACATAGGGGACGTCAAGTCGTTCGACCCGATCTCGGATCGCCACAAGATCTGGTACAGGGACGGCGACTCGCAGGACCTGTGGCTGCATCACGAGCCTGTGCAGTGGCTGGATGACGAGGACGCTTTCGCGGCGGCGGCGGCGTCATGGCCGCGGGCGGGCGCGGCGTCCCCGGCCGAGGCGGCGGCGCTGATATCACGAGCCTTTCCGGGGGGCGCCGCGGGCGCGGGCGGCGGCGGGGCCGGGTTTGGCGGCGCGGCGGCGGGTGTCCTCGGGAAGCATGCGCGCGCGGACGCGGCCGGCGGCGGCGGCGCGGGGCCGCCCAAGCGGCCGCGGCCGGCCGGCGTGCTGCCGTCGCCGCGCATCGGCGGCGGGGCGCTTGCGTGCCTGCAGCAGCAGCACCAGCAGCAGCAGCTGCTGCTGGCGGCGGCCGCGCCGCCGCCGGGGGCGTGCATGGTCAGCCACCCGGGGAAGCCGTCGCTGGTGGGCTGCCGGGTGTCTGTGTTTTGGCGGAGTGACAAGCTGTCATACAGGGTGAGTGATCGATGGATTCAAGGTGGCTGGCAACTGAGGGTGTTATGACGCGGTGGCGCGCCCCGTGAAGCGAGAGGTTGCAGGCGCGCAGCTGTCGCTTTGTTCGGCTTTCATGTTTGGCAGTCGGCAGCTTTTCCTTGTTTTGTGGCATTGGGCGTGCTCCTGGCCCGGCTACTGACCGCACCAGCAGCCGGTCATGGGCCGTGGCCGGCGCTTCATCACCAGCCAGCCTGGCCCCTGCCTCACCGCCTCCGTGCCTCCTCGGCGTCACCTTGCAGGGCAAGCTGGCCAGCTACAGCCCCACCAGCGGGAAGTTCACAGTCCGGTACGACGACGGCCAGTCCGAGCAGCTGCACGTCGAGCGGGAGCGCGTGCAGTGGCACGCGCCGCGCGCGGCGAGTGCGGGCTACACCCCAGAGCGCCACGCGGCAATGGCGGCGCTGGGGGTGCAGGGCGTCGCGCCGGCGCCGGTGCCGCCGCCGCCGCCCGCGGAGCGGCCCGCCGGGCAGCCGGCGCCCGGCGCGGCGGCGGAGATGGTGGGGTGGCGGGTGGCGGTGTGGTTCGGTGCGGACGGCAGCTGGCAGGAGGCCGAGGTGCGGCGGGCTTTGCTTTGTAAAGGGCAGTGCCACCAGTTCAGCTTTCCGCATCCCCGCTGTATGTGTGAAGATCACAGCAGATGAAATCTGCTTGTTCGCACTCCCGCCTCGACTATACACCCTGTGCCCCGCCACACAGCAGCCCAGGGGTAGAGGAGGGCAAACAGGACCCTGTCAAATCGTCACGGATGCCTCCAATGGTGCCTGCCTTTCAATTAAGCTCTGCCTTGCGCCTTGCCCCCCTCCCTCTGCTGCCCTCTCCCTCCGACCCCCAGGTCCTGGCTCATGACGCGGCGCGCAGCTTGCACCACCTGCTATATGCAGACGGCGAGCACGAATGGGCCGACCTGGCGCACGAGGCGCTGACCTGGCAGCGGCCGCCGCAGGCCGAGGGCGGCGCCGCGTGCGCGGGCGTGTTCAAAGGTGCGCCACTGCCGCGCTCGGCGCGGCGGCTCGGGGCGGCGGGGGAGCGGGGCATGGCGCCCGCCGCTGCTTTGGTTGAAGCGCGTGGGGCGGGGCAGTGCTCCAATAGCGTCTGAGATTCGCCCGGTCGCATTTCTGGGAGCAGGTTTGTGACCATGTTGTGTGCGTGGCCTGTAGGTAGCCCTGATGTCACGCGCAGTCTGCATGTGTCCCTGTGTCCCAGCGAACCCTGCTGTACCAGGCATCAACCGGCCTCACCCCTTTTGAACCCCCCTCTCGACCCCTCCAACAGCCGAGGACGCTCCCAAGGGGCGTGATGCCGTGGGGTGGCGCGTGGCGCTGTACTGCCGCGGGGGCGGCTCTTTTGCAGAGGGCCAGGTGGTGGGGTATGACCCCGCATCAGGGCAGCACAGGTGCGTGTGAACTGTGCGCACCGGTGCGCGCGCGTGCATGCGTGTGTATATGTGTGTATGTGTGTGTGTGTGTTTTTGCGTGGTCGTATGTGTGTGTGGTTAGGCTGGTGTGTGGTTAGGCTGGGCGGGCACAGGCTTGAGACGTGCCATCATCCGGGGGTCCCAGGGGTCGTGGCCCCCGCGCGCGGAGGGCACGTGAGATCCCGCCCCTGCCGCCTGGTCACCAACGACCTTGCACACGCGGGGGTCGTGTGTCGGCCCCGCTGCCGTTTGCTCGCGCCCGCGGTGGCCACGCGAGCGCTCGGCCGTCCAGGTCGCCAACACCAATGCACCTAGCGCACGGCCCAACCTCGGACTCTTGCGCGGCTGCCCCAGGGTGCTGTATGCGGACGACGAGGAGGAGACGGTGGCCCTCAGATCTGAGGCCGTGATCTGGCGCCTGTCGCCCCGCGAGGACAGCGACCACGATGACGACGACAGGGATTACGTAATGGACGATGACTCAGACGATGACGCGGGCCTGGACGAGATGGATGAGGAAGATGAGACGACCAGCGGCAGCGACGCGCCGCGCGGCCCCCGCGGCGGCGCGGCACGGCGCCGCCGCGGGG